ATATATGTATGTATTTATGTATATATATATATATTTATATTTATGTATGTATGTATGTATTTATATTATATACATGTGTGTATGTTTGTGTTTATCTCGAACAAGCACTGACAGACCTGTATATTATTATTTTTCTCTACACGATGTTGTACGCAGAACCGGTGCAAACCCCGGCGGGTCGTCTACCGGCAACTTCCAACAATCGAAGCCTGTACCTGTGAAGGTGAGTGTTTCGTCACATTATCTGCCCACTCAGTTCACTCAGCGCATTAAATTTTTGTATCATAATCTTGTAATGTCCTCTCAGGACTCCATATTCGTGTGTAAATTTCAATGTCTGTTTGTAGCGTGTGTGCTATTTCTGTGGACTTTTAGCCTGTAACACCAAACATCTGGAAATAGTACCTGTCAAGCTTTGTATTCCTTTACAGTGGGCATTTGCGGCTATTCTGTCAGTTTTTTTTTCTATACCCGCATGTTCTTACCGTATCCACCTGCGGCGCGTGTACTGTTTTGGCATTTAGTATACTCCTTGTATATAACAACATTATTTGAATTTGGTGCCAGGCGAGGTTGGTGTCCCGTTGCAGGAAACCTCTGTCGCCAGCTATGGCAATGTTTAGATCTGTACGATTTGTACTTCACATATGTGAAGTAAATCTCCCTATGTCATGTGCACTTCTTATGTGGCGACTCGTTCCGTCTCCGGTGCAACCCGACACCTGAATTCAGACGTGGTCAGAAAGCCATTTGCACTTTTATATGGCCGCGACAAATAGTCTCTTGTTTCGGATTTATCACTTTGAACTTGCACATAGTGGGACTGTCTATTCGATGTTGCGTAGTAGAAGAGCCTGTGTTGTCTGTATATCGTGCTACCTGCCATTTATTCGACCACACGTTACACTCCCATTGTACGAACACCAATACAGCAAATTGATACTATAGTCCTCTGAGATATGGCCGAGTGTCCTGGCACCGGATTATGATACTTCTGTCTTTTTTATACTCCCGTGTGTCATTTGTAGAGCGTTGTGTCTGTTGAGATAGTGTCGTACAGTCAAAACAAACTTGCATATGCTTTTTGCGTGCAAGTGCGATGACTTGTCTGTCGGAACTCTTGTACGTTGTACTTATGTGCCCTGTCCTTGTTCTATTTGTAGGTCAGGAATATCAATCCAAACGCAATCACAGTTAATCAACGGCAAAAAGGCAATCCCATTCTCAAACATCTGCAACACACTGCATACGAGTACGGCGACTGTTTACCAGACTACCATATAAGCCCGCACACAGCTATAATGTATCTAAGGTATGTACCACTAAATATGGTTGAATCCGATCGTTATGTATTGGAGCAGGCGGCTGTTCTGTATTGGGTATTGCCGCTCGACATTATCCGCGTACAACTATAATACATCTAGGTATTTTGGTCGATGTACACGATTATACCCAAGATACTCATACATACACGACTCGTTTTCCTTGTAGTATGCGCTTTCATCTGTACCGTAGCAACTACATCGGAGCCGCAGTGCGGTCGCTGGGACGTACGTACACGTTGCGAGTGCTTCTGCTGCACATTGACGTGGAACAGTACCACACAGCGCTGGTGGATCTGACGAAGTTGGCCACGCTCAATGGGCTCACGCTTATATGTGCGTGGAGTCCAGAAGAAGCTGCCAGGTGTGTTCTGGTGTAAGATGCTGTTTTTCTTTCTAATCTTACAGCGTGTGAGCCATTGGTTGATTTTATAGTACTGTGTCGTCGCCCTCTCACTCACTCACTCACTCACTCACACTTACAAGATGGAATACGTGCTTTCAACAGGTATATAGAAACATTCAAGCGGTATGAAAACAAGAACTCCGATCTATTGCAAGAAAAAGTGGATGACTCGTATCTGGCGCGTGCCACTGGCTTCTTGACTGAGGTCAATTCCGTCAATAGTACAGATGTCATCACTCTGCTGTCTGCCTTTGGGGTGAGCATATAATCACTGGCTAAGCACATATATGCTTCTTAGATAGTAGAAGCTCTTCATGCTGTCACAGGTTTTGACGCTATGGAACTGTACCTTCATAACCATAGTCAGATTGAAACTTCTATTGAGTCGGGTTCACAAGTGTCGACCATTCTGCAATCGATTCTCCAGTTGTACCATGGTCATTGGTGCATTTGCCTACAAGGAATACGTCGACGCGTACACATTGCTGCAATGAGTGGCGTACAAAATCGGAGAGATGAACATGCGATACTCTCAAAACGCATTGGATAGTCTGTATTGTCTGCCACGAAATCCGGCTTGGTACAAACCCAATACAAACTGACAATCTGCTGTACACCTACACAACAGAGTATCAAGGATGTTGTTGCGGCAGACCATCAAGAATTGGCTGAGCTGCCGGGAGTGGGAGATCAGAAGGTATTGTAGCAATCTCTGCTGAGTACACGTGTGTGTATAAATGAATGTAATAATTTTATGTTCGGTGCGTGCATGTGATGTTGTGTTTCCCAAACTGAGCAGGGGTATTGCATAGAAGCTGACTTTTTTATTCGGTAAGAAATCACAACAGGCTCACTTCAATGCAGTTGCTATACCGGTTTTGATCGGCTTTACCTAGGAGAGCACAATGTGGCCATACTATTGCGACCCCTGATTGATCCAACCTTTACCTGTCAGCTTCTTTTTCGCCTGATTTGTGAATTGATCTGTCTGAACTTGAAGTGAGGGCTCGTTCTCATATCGACAAATGAACGTACCCATAACTTTGCTTTTTAGCTGCTAAGTCGCTTTGTTTCTGATACCTTGTTTGTGTAATCGTGTGCCTGCCTCATAGCTATCTATGATGCCCGTTCAGGTCGAGTGCAATTTGTTTGATTTGTCTCAATTCGGAAGGTCTGCTTAATCGTATATATTATATACCAACACACAGACTATTTCCTCACCACACACACTTATGTTCACGAATGCCACAGATTCATCGGATATACGATGCATTTAGGGCGCCGTTCGTTCCGAGTAAAGTTCCGGAAGAAGCCATACAGCCCTGTCTAACGATAGCCCCCACACCCAGCACAGCTGTACTAGCTATCAGGGACAAATAAATGCTAAACCAGACTCAATCGACTATATATTTAAGACCATACGTACCTCAGCATGCGCTCAGTGATCACTATGTCTCAACTATAGCACTTGAGATACAATTTAGTTGAGTGTGGAAGGTGTCGAAGTATATACTCTGTCATTCACTGTAATATTTTTCTCATCCAAGGTATTCTGCAGCACGGTCTGGAGGACATTGTGCTATCACAGTTCATAGTTCGACAGCCAAGGTGTTTTGAAGACAGACAGCACGTCCAGCCTTAAGTTCTGTTGCACATATCGTGATGAATAGATTAGTTGCAATACTCATGCCGCCAAAGCTAACCCGCACCAACCCAATCTCCAGCTATTGTTTCGTGATTCCCCCGGGGTTTTCTACTGTTTCATGTAGGTGGCCTTGGTCTCAAAATGCTATTCAGATCGGAGCGACGTGGTGTAAGTTGCAGCATATCATGAATCAGCTAAGTGTAGGATGTGGTCGCTATATATGGGAACAACAAATTTTTAAGTCGTGTCTATATGTGCCTTGAATCGGGGAGCTGTAGGCCATAAAATGGAAATCAAACGCTCGAATGATCTGTATCTCCAGCTGCTTGTGTATTGATCGTAGGCCAAGGGTCTTTGAGAGAACTATTTTATGATTATGTATTCCTCAACGTATACATGCACGTATAGGACTTTTTTTATGTACACCTTCCCAGTTCTATCCGAACTCCCAGCTTTCTGACATCACCCGACTGGGCGTCATGAACTCGTCACCGTAGTAGCTCTTTAACAGCTTCCCCGTGTCCTGTGCACATAGAGCGTACACGTCGCCAAAGCGACACGCACACACATGACGGCCACGTGGGTGGTACAAGGCAGAGTCGAAGTCGAGGTGCAACGGCAACAGCGTTTGTAAACGATTCGGACATTTGTACTGTAGATAGGATAGGTGGAATGCAAGAGTTAAGTAGGTACAAGTACTGTGTACATGAGATTATAAGCTTGAGGCAGATTGTATGCGTCCTTTCAGTGTGGGTGATAGGATACCGTGACACAGTCGAGGTATACCGACACAGGCGTTTGCAGCCTTTCAGGCACTCATGCTAGTGTAATCTGACAGTCAGTCATTATCTAAATATTGAACGCGACAGAACGAAGTCCTCCTTAGGACTATTGTCGTCTCTTCAGTGAAACATGTATGAAACGTACAGAGTATCAACCTTTTGACCTTTCGTTCCGTCGTCGTGAGACAAAAAAATGCGCATACATCAAAGACATGTTTACGACCTCGCGACTCTGTTTATATATCAGCCGGGAGTTGGCATACAAGCAGTCCCTTCGACCTTGCTGATGCTAGAACATCAGGATGCATGCATGTTGCTCACCACCATGATATTTTACAACTGTACATACCCTGGCCTCAATGCGTGTCGGTGTGTTGCCAAAGTTTTCCAGCGCACCTATCCTGAAGGTGTACTTATCTTCCATGTAGGCGGCAAGATTTTTCTTCAGCATGGGATAGGCCCAACTGAATGTCGAATAAATCAGGTAGAGATGATTGTCAGTATGGCATTGGTAAAGTCGAATAGAATAGTAGTGTATCAAAAGCTTACACTACGACAATGCGGAGTGTCTAACATTCAGTCCCATGCACACTGAAATTGCAGATACGACGCAATATCCGTCAGAGGGTAGATAACACGTACTAGAGATGAGCACTAGAGATTACAAGCGTATCGGAGGGACATCAGGAAACACTGCCAGTACACCCCCATGCGCACAGAGCAGACATACTTGTCCATCCACCAGCGGTGGCCCTTATTACACATGGTCCACTGGGAGGCACGCTTGGTGTAGGTGCCTATGATAGGATTGTCTAGATTATTCCCGCGCACATCGTCACAGAAGTGTTCGGAGAGGTCACCCGAGACGTGCTCGTTGTTGTATGCGTAGAAGACCACATCCTGCACTGCAAAAAACATGATGTGTATGAGCGGGAGATAAAGGGAATGCACATGATTCAACGTGGCCAGCATATATACACAGTCGATCTGATGGCGGAATTGACCGTGCTTGTCAGTGTGCTGACGCCTGTGGCTGTGAAGCACGCTAGGCTAGATAGCCTTGTGCATGGGTCTTATCCGATGGCTGTATGATACACGTTCAGGTGTAACGTGACCCTCGCGCAAGTTAGTAAACACTATGCACGAGCCCAGTGAAAAATATTTCTGATCGTTGCAGTGTTTAGGTTTGTTTTATTCGCGTTGCGATTTGGACAGTTTTATGAGACTAGATGACGCTCCAACAATTAAGAATATCACAACACCAGACAATTCATATTATTCACGTAGTCGGAAATAAATGTATACATTGCTCTCGTATGTTCACAATCGATACACTAAGACAGTAACAAAAGTCCAACTATCCAGCACATGATTCGCGGACAGTGCAGATTTCGAAATTCACGTATCAATCGCCTAATAGCCACTCTAAAGGTAGATTCAATAATACCACTTCCTATACCTATAGACGTGTATACGTATA